GAACATTTGGGGCAAACCCACAATATATTGGGGTATTTTGGTAAGACTGAAAAAACCATATATTATATTTGGTGACTAAAAAGATTGTCATGAAATAAATTTGCCAGCAGTTGTATAATAATTCCTAATGGTTTTTAAATTCAGAATAAGATAGAGTAAATGATATGTCATATTTATTGTGACCTCAACATTTTAAATACATACATATGTATTACATTGTGGGCTTAGCACAAATTGAAAATATTGTGCACATGATATAAATTGTATGCTCTTGAATTCAGTCTAGCACTATGAAAAAGTGATTCATTTTTCCCATTCTACAGAGTATATGACCAACTAACTACTGGTAATTTGTGACAATGTAACTACCAGGAGATTAAATTATTTGTAAATGTAAATTATTTGTAAGTAAACTACTAATGTAATTTATTTGCATGTACCAATGTAACTTAATATTACATGTTAGTTTTAAAAGTACATGTAGATATGAACTGAACTGATCTGAGTCGACCATGTCGTGTGTATTATGGTTGGGGAAATATAATCTCTGGTTTCTATGGTGGTTTTTAAAAAAACCGTTTTTTTCAAAGAATTCATCGACAACGATGAAATTTGCTTGTTAAATTAAGCTCTCTCTCCACGAATCCTTCTGGCCAGTTGTATGTCCTTTGGCATAATGGTAACACGTTTGGCATGAATGGCGCACAAGTTGGTGTCTTCAAACAGTCCAACTAGGTAAGCTTCAGATGCCTCTTGGAGGGCCATCACCGCCGAGCTCTGAAAGCGCAGATCTGTCTTGAAGTCTTGGGCAATTTCTCGGACGAGTCTTTGGAAGGGCAGTTTCCTGATCAACAACTCGGTCGACTTCTGGTATCTACGAATTTCTCTCAGAGCAACTGTTCCGGGCCTGTATCTGTGTGGCTTCTTTACACCTCCAGTTGCTGGGGCACTCTTTCGTGCAGCCTTGGTGGCCAGTTGTTTGCGAGGAGCTTTTCCTCCAGTTGATTTCCTTGCAGTTTGCTTTGTACGAGCCATTTTGACACTACGAAGAAATTTCAATAAGGGCGAACGAAATAAGGTGACTGAGCGATGACGGTACTACGTTCCAGCTAGGAACAACGAATCAATCTGCGAATCGGCGCCATTTGAGGTCAATTTGAAATGTTTGAGCAAGCCACGTGACATGCCGGGAGAAGCGAAATGACAAAGAATGCATCGCCCATTGGCTGCTTTATTATCCCAAGTTTCGAGCGAGCTGCAATTGCATCTTCTGAACAAGATTAATACCATTTCTTAAAACTAAAGGGAAGCAGAAAAAGCAAATTCAAAGGGATTCAAGCAATTGCAAATTACTGTCTCTTTGACTTGGGGAGGTTTGTTATCCTGGTTGATGGCAACAATAGCAAGAGTTTACGTAAATAATGTTTGTTTTTAGTGGCTGTTTTCCAGTTCTCTTTGGCAGTCAATCAAATAAGACACTGAATTGACATATTTCAAGAGGCAAATTGTCTTGTAAGTGTACCTTCCCTCGCCTTCTCTGCTAGGACATAGTTTGCTTATGCAGTAAAGGCGCCATCAAGAAAGATGGCAGTATAAAGAGAGTGCTCCTAATAGGTCCGCAGTTGCTCCTGTATGTATTTGCCGGTTGAGTCAGATTGAAATCAGTCGCCTCGTGCATTGTCGCTCGCTGTCGTACAACACAACTTTCAACAATCATGTCTGGAAGAGGAAAAGGAGGAAAGGGTCTTGGCAAAGGAGGTGCTAAACGTCATCGAAAGATTCTTCGTGACAACATTCAAGGCATCACCAAGCCAGCCATTCGCCGATTGGCTCGTCGTGGAGGAGTAAAGAGAATCTCTGGCCTCATTTACGAAGAGACACGAGGTGTTCTCAAGGTTTTCCTCGAGAACGTCATTCGCGATGCAGTCACATACACAGAACATGCCAAGCGAAAGACTGTCACTGCCATGGATGTCGTCTACGCTTTGAAGAGACAGGGTCGAACACTGTACGGATTTGGCGGTTAAGTTGCGTCGTCCTGTTTACAGGATAGACAACTGGAGTGACTCGTCCTCACCAACAACACAAACAGCTTTTTTAAAAGCTACCAAAAATGCCAAAGTTGCCCAATGTTTTAAGCCTTGTGACAGCACACGATTAACAGCGAGTCATAATTGAATGTACTGAATCAATAATTTAATATCCCGCTAAATAAATCGACCGGTATAATGTCAAGTCGCACAAAAATGCACTGAAGTCCAACAGGAATATGTTTACTAAATAATAATAGGACTTTGTAAAATGCTATTGATGCAGCTAGCTCAATCAAGTTGATTTTTGAAAGAGCATGCCAACAAACTCATCTCCAAATTAATAATAATAAGTCTACAAGATGTCCTCACCAGAAAGGTAGGTTCCAAACATCTCCATTTCATGAACACAAATAGATGATGAACCCCTCGTTGACTTGACATACAGTAGTAATGTGCATATCCCTCTCTCATAATTGTTGTGTTTGTGGATCATTGACAAATGTTGACATATGAGATACATTATCATCATTATAAAACCAAGCAAAAGATTCATACATCTTCACCTTACTACCATCAACAAATAGCCCAGCCCTTTGGTCAATTCAGTTTTAATGACCATCAGCAAGAAATATAACCAGGAAGATTACCAACAGGCCAAGAAAAGAATTCCAATTCTGTCTATTCTTTTTTATTTTCAACTTTGATTATTTGCCCTTAAATAAAAGTATTTTCACCTTGATCAATTGAAGAAAATAATTCCTTTTCTGTCTATTCTTTTTCATTTTCAACCATAATTATTTGCCCTTAAATAAAAGTTGTTTCACCTTGATCAATTGAAGAAATTAATTCCTTTTCTGTCTATTCTTTTTTTATTTTCAACCATAATTATTTGCCCTTAAATAAAAGTTGTTTCACCTTGATCAATTGAAGAAAATAATTCCTTTTCTGTCTATTCATTTTCATTTTCAACCATAATTATTTGCCCTTAAATAAAAGTTGTTTCACCTTGATCAATTGAAGAAAATAATTCCTTTTCTGTCTATTCATTTTCATTTTCAACCATAATTATTTGCCCTTAAATAACAGTTGTTCCACCTTGATCAATTGAAGAAAAGAATTCCTTTTCTGTCTATTCTTTTTTCATATTCAACCATAATTATTTGCCCTTAAATAACAGTTGTTCCACCTTGATCAATTGAAGAAAAGAATTCCTTTTCTGTCTATTCTTTTTTCATATTCAACCATAATTATTTGCCCTTAAATAAAAGTTGTTTCACCTTGATCAATTGTTGCTTGCATCTTGGTTCAACTGTGTAAGGATAGCCTGTTTAAGGATAGCTTCTTAGGACCAATCAACCCTAGATTGATTACTTGCTGCTGGTTCAATTGATTGACTGCTTGATTATTGTTATTGAATGTTTGGTATGGTTTCTTTGTGCTCATCTGTTGAGCATCATAATGCAGTGGGCCTATACTAAAAACAATATAGAGTGTGTGGTGTGGGTAGGTATCGTGTGTGTCACAAGCAGGTACACCAAGTTAGTTTTCGTGGTGGTTTTTAAAAAAACCGTTTTTCGTTCGACGAACTGGTAAAGCCAGCCAACAACACTAGCCAGCCAGGCTTTATGATTTTGGAGCCTTCTGCTCGGTCTTCTTTGGTAAGAGTACTGCCTGAATGTTGGGCAGGACACCACCTTGAGCAATGGTCACTCCACTCAGCAATTTGTTCAGCTCCTCGTCGTTTCTGATTGCAAGCTGCAAGTGTCGAGGGATGATTCTTGACTTCTTGTTGTCCCTGGCGGCATTGCCAGCCAACTCCAAGATTTCTGCCGAGAGATACTCGAGTACGGCTGCAAGATAGACGGGAGCCCCCGATCCAACTCGTTCAGCGTAGTTTCCCTTTCTCAACAATCTATGGATACGTCCAACTGGGAACTGAAGACCAGCTCTGGATGTCCTCGACCTTGCCTTGGCCTTAGCTTTTCCACCTTTTCCGCGTCCAGACATGTTTAACTCAAATTGAATAACGAAATGAAGCCTTGCCGTAGAATGAACAACTTTGTTCGCAACTGCCTGATTGCCCGCCAAAGTGGTCGATTTGTAAAGGGCATTTACTCGAGATCTACCAATCAACACCCCCGCTATCGACCGCGAACAATAAGCGAACACGAGACAGCGAATCGACGTGTGTCACATGGCCTTCGAGCTAATCGACCCAGTTGCCCACAAATATAGTAAAAACTTGCATTGGCGCCAACCAACAACAGACTAGATCAGTCACAGTTAGTGTTGCTGCTTTATCTAGCGAAGGTCCTTTTGAAATTCGAAAAGTCAAATTTAAAATCATTCTTCAAGATGTCTGATGCCCCAGCAAAAGGAGGAAAACAGGCCCCAAAGGTTGCCAAGAAGGGGGAGAAGAAAGCAGGAGTTGGCAAGAAAGGGGGCAAGGCTGCCTCTGGAGATAAGAAGAGGTCGAAAAAGCGCAAGGAGAGCTACTCGATTTACATCTACAAAGTACTTAAGCAAGTCCATCCCGATACCGGCGTTTCAAGCAAGGCCATGAGCATCATGAACTCGTTTGTCAACGACATCTTCGAAAGGATTGCTCAAGAAGCCTCGCGTCTCGCCCACTACAACAAGAAGGCAACGATCCCTTCGAGGGAAATCCAGACTGCCGTCAGGCTTCTCCTCCCCGGTGAACTTGCCAAGCATGCTGTCAGCGAGGGCACCAAAGCCGTCACCAAGTACACAAGCAGCAAGTAAACTGCTGGACGCACGAACACGACAATCCTCGCTTGTCGTCTACAACCAGAAAACAAACAGCTTTTTTAAAAGCTACCAAATTTACCAATCTCGTTGCCCAAACCTTTGACACACACGATAAGCATTGTGCTTCTTTATTCAACCGAGTTATCCAGTTTTAAAAACATTTAGGCTAATGCATGTTGGAGTCTCATTTTCATCAGCATCCCCTCATCCAGTATCACATTTAAAAAGTTAACAACTCTGTAGGTAAACATTCAAAAAATACATCTCTTTGAAGACATCCTTCAAAATATGAAATATTTCCTGAAAATATCAAATATGAAACATTTTCTTAAAATATTCTACATTCAACAGTCATTTGTTAACATTGGCTCTTGGTTTTTCATGAACAGTAAAGCCACGAATAAACCCCCCCACATTGGATTCCAATATGGTGAAAGCCCCGCCAAATAGAATGAACCCCCAGCCTAACATGCTGCAATATTTTTCAATGCATGATTCCAATCAATGGCAAATGCTATTTGTTCATTGGAAATTCGAAACTCAGATAAACCAAACATCCCTTTCGCAGTTTTTTTTTCACCATCCGATCTGCCAAATATCTCATTTTTCGATAACATTTAGAATACCCCCACAAGTCCCCTGTCCCGGGCTTACACCAACGAGTAGGCCCATATTAAAAACACTGCCAGTGAATGCTTATTACTCCTGGTGAGCGTTTATGAAAGTTTTCTTTTCAATATGCATTCTATTTTGAATATGTTTTATGAATTTTCTCCTTTGTTTTTTTACAATTGTGGACTTTCAATAGTTATCTCTGATTTAGTCCTTTTTTAATGTGGTGTTTATTAAATTTTACCTCAGAAATTTTGCATGAAAAATGGAAAATATTATAAGTAAAAACAATAAAGACAGAGCTATTTTCTCAAAAAGCTATGTATCTTTTGTCAGATCTATTAGATATATAAAGTTTATATATAATATAAAGTTTTGAAGTTTTCATTCTAATTATTCAAGTTTCAATTTGTCCGGCCATAAGCTTATACCAAACCAATGAATGTTCGATTTAGCAGATATCTCAGTATTGTTGGTTTGAACTCAGGAATGTGAAAGGTCGGTTAGTTTCATTTACTAGTTTATTTTCAACAAAAATGGGTTGTTGTCAGGATGGAATTCCTACTTTCAAAGGCAGTTCCCTAGACCAGTACTCTCAAAAACGACTTACACCCTTGGCCAGAGGCGGCTGCAAAAATTTTTTCCACTACCATAATCGAATAATTGTTAGGGCTGCGGGGCTGACAGGGGGGGGGGATCTGTACAAACATTGCATCGACCCATACAGCTGGGGTTTTTTGCAATCAAAAGCTCTTCCAAACATAGGCATACTGTTGACAAAATTGTCCATGCAAGTTGATATTAAATCGCCTTGTCATTATTCGAAATTTTTGGTTTTATAAATATCATGGCAGTTATAAATAGAAGGGGCTGGCTGCAAGACTTCGATTGTCTGTTTGAAGTTTATTATCCTCTTCTGAAAAAAAATTTGCCGTAATCGATGACCGACAGCAAAAAGGAGATTTTTCCATATTTTGTATTTCTAATGGAAATCAACATAATGAGAATGGCAAAGCTGGTCATCATTTATCTACAAAACTTTATTTCATTTTCTTAGGAGTGAATATTCAACGGCGCTACTTGCCCCCTCTGTCCCTCCTGCCTCTCCAGGGTATTAACTTGACTGGAAGTCAGTACAGTATACTCTTGCTTGTGGCACATCACTAAGTACCTTTACTATGTCAATTAATGCTTCTATTATGCTAAAAATTCTCTTTCTTTTCTAAAAATTCTCTTCTATTATGTATCTTTCTTTACGAGCTTACTTCAATCAAAGTACTTTTGGCCACTTTCAAATCTGGTCGTTCTGAAAACATGCTACATGCAGCCCTCATATATTGACGTGTACGCTGATCACCTCGGTAAGAGTTGGTATAGCCAGAGAAAATGTAATAAATAGGCTGCTTCTTGCTAATTATAGAGTCTGTTCGTCCTAAATTTCAAAAGATGTCTGGTTTTCTTTGCAGATTTTCTAAGCCTTCTTTCTTCAGTTTTTCTACCTACCCCCACCCCCGCTCTGCCTTTCATCATGAGCTTTCACAGTTTATTACTGACACAAATATTGCCGGAAAACTAAATCTTTAAATAAATCGTCTTCCTTTTCTAAAGGAACTTTTTGAATAGGAATTTTTCCTCCATCGTTACCCAATGTTTCAAACATAAGGGTAAAAAAATAATACTTAACAACTTGTTGAGGGAAAATTGTGCTGTGCTTCTTGCAGTCAAATTCGGCCCAATTTAAGCGTTTTTATAGTCATCACAAAAGTTAACTGCGATTTGCTGGTTCGATCAATTAATGGACCTTTTAAACCTGCCCTTGCATGTGTACTGGGAGGTTTTATGACGATTGGAAAAGAAAATAATCAAACAATATTCAGAAATTAGCTATTTAACAAACGGATAAAGAAAATCCTTTTTCTGTTGATTCATTCTTCATTTTCACCATAGTTATTTGCTGTTGTTGAATAAAAGTTGGTCTATATTCTCGTCATACATTTATTGCTTTCATTCTCTTGATCTATTTTTGTTTGTATCTTGGTTCATTTGAATCATTGCCAATTTGAAATTTTGAAGAAATAGTACTACTTTTGTTTATGAAATACAATTAGGAAAAAAATTAGATAGCCAAATAATATTTACAGATCTCCTGTTTTTTATTATGAAGGCGTTTGCAGAATTGCGTTGCACTGTAAAAATTTTATAATTTATATACTCAAATTATTATATTTATTAATCGATGCAACTTTACGTCTGTCTCAAAAAAATCGATGGATACAACCAAAAAGTTTTGAAAAAAATGTCTTAGAAAACATTGACTTGCAACTAAGGAAGGAGAGGGGATTAAGACTCGTTGAGTACCCTAATTTCGTGTCCTCACCCATTTTTAAAGCATTAAATTTAAGTAAGGTTTAAGAGTAAGATTTTCCTGGCCGGAGAAAGGTTGACAACTTTTCTGGACAAAAGTTGCTCAGTCAGTAATTTTCGTACGCGTAGCTTTCGAAGCACGACAAAATACGAGCTGTTTCAAGGACTAGGAGACATCACATCTACAGGAAGACATACAGGTAATTACATACTATAAAAGCAAACGCAGAAGCCTCTTATTATACAGAACAAACAGTGCTATCTAGTTTCATTTCTTGTAGGTTGTTGATAGAAAATGGACGTTTTGACCAATTGCAAGCATTATTTCGACTTTCCTTGAAACTTCTTTTTACTTTTCGTCTTTTCTTTAGTTTTCGCCTCAAATTGAGTCCCTTCATGGAGAATTTGCTTTGCACGTGGGTCGTTAGGATGGAGTCCCAATGCACGAATTTTTGCTGTTTTTGTTTTATTCTTCTCGCGTTCTTCTTTTCGTTTGTCTCTTAGTGCATTGATTCTTTTTCTGTATTCAGCCACGATTTCTGGCATATTCAGCATTGCTTCTTCGATTTTCTTTTTCCTACAAAACAATTAATTTTTATGGTTACAATAACAAAAGACAGAACTGCCAAACTAAGAACTTCTTCAACCTTTTTGTTTTTTGTTACAAATGAGCAAGTCGGAAATCATCATCATCATCATCATCATCATAGTAATGATAATAATCCTAATTTTCACTTCTAACAACCACTGAGGGGTTGATAAAGGGGACTTTTCTATAAACAAAGTAACATTAATTTCCGCTCAGATACATAAATTAAAAGTTATGAGAATCAGCCAGATACACTTTATGGAATGTTAAATAATTCCAACAGAACTTAACAGCATCATAACTGCAAAACTTTATAGCGATCTTTACTGAGGCGGAACTTCTTTCAGATCTATCTGAGTAAAATTGCTACAGTTATGTACAAATTTCAGTCGAAAAAGCAACCCAGGTGTTTCAAGGGAATTCAGGTTCAAATGTCAAGGAATTTAGTCATATTACTAAAAAAACACAAATCTTCCCGTAATGTAAATACTATGATATTTGTAGGAATTGACCTTCTCGGACATAGAGTAGCGTTTCTCGATGTTGAGCATCATTCTCTAGTCAAGGCACCTGTAATGTTCTATACCTACTAGGTGGTCTGAATCTAAGTTTCTATTACAGCGCCTCCCGTTATCTAGATTAAGTCTAATTGTTACTAGCCTCCTTTACAGCACCTCCCGTTATATACATTAAGTCTAATTGTTACCTTTCTTCGCGCCTTTTCTCCCTTATTCCACCAGCCGGAGCTCGGTCCAGGTTCCTATCTCTCATCGGCTTATCTGGCCAGTAGTAACCAGCTGCAATGTACTTTTTACGCAGCTGTGCGAATTTTCGTGCGTTGTATTTAGGTTTTATAACCTGACCATCGACGCGCCTTACTTTGCTGTTTTCTAGAATTCTTCGCACAGGAGCGGATACTCGTGGTGGTGGTTCTGAAAGTAAGAATCTTCCTTTTAAAATTATATTTTCTTTAATAATACCCGTAGGTAGCCTGCACTCTAGGCCGGACGCCTAATAATGAATTGGAATTAATCTGGTTATCATATTACATCATTAAAAACCCAGGTAATCTGAAGAGAGCACAGAACAGCGGAAACAAAGCTAACTTAAGCACTATACATCCAACATCGGATAATAGCAGAAAATTGAATTCAAATGCAGAACGGAAACGTAAGAAGAAGGACGACCCATTTGATTGGTCCTTTTTTTACTAATCAGCGACTGCTAACAACAGTAGCCTAGAAGCTGCATATATGGCACACCTTAACTATCCTACCAAATACCCAAACATCATGCGATATTGTAGTTCAAGAATGCATTAAATTTGCGTGATGAAAGCAGTATGAAATATTGATTCAATATAAAGTTGAAAATTGATATCGCGCTCTATTACTCTTGCTCTTGTCTATGCTATAATAATTTTTTATTATAGAACTTTTTCGAACACCAAAATTCACAATGACTGTCACTTGCAACTAGCATTGGTCATTCAGACAAAGATTAAGACCCCGTATACACTGTGCCGGATAAAAATTATCCGCATCAAAATTAGTTCAGATTGGCGTCGCGTTTACACTAGACCCACGCTATCCGCACGAATTTGAGAGGGCCATCCGAAAAAAATAGGTTCACCAAGAAAAGTGAATTAAATTAGTTCGGATAACTATGTGGTACAGTGTGAACGCTTGTATCCGGATAAATTTTATCCACATCGTATCTTGCTCGAAAGCGATTGGCTATTTCATCCAATTTAATTTCACTGTTTCCCAATGGCTTATTGTATTTTGCGAAAATTTTCGCATAATGCGAAAATGCGAAATTTCGCAAAATACAAGTTTCGAGGTGGTATTTTGTAAAATGCGAAAACTGATTCTAAAAACTTTATTTGCCCATATCAACGACCGAAAACAAGCAATTCATATTCAGGGCGACTCTGTTCATGCAAATAGCCTAGTTCATGTCCCATTTAACGTTAGATAACTCATGGACACATTTTGGAAAATGGTTCAAAAACCAACCACACCAAGGCCATGAACGGCCTAATTGTGAATTGCCCATTCCAGCGAAAGACGATAACAGTAAGCATCCCGGTGCTTGCTAATTGGTAATTGGTAAATACCCAACATTCTGCGTGTTCTGTGTTGTTTTAGGGGTAATTTACGCCTTTATCCACAAGGCCTATTTTCCTGCCTATTTCCCGGTGAAACCGGCGTGGCTGGAAAAGGACGGGGGTGATGTCAAAAGATTTTCGCAAAATACAAAATGGCTGGGGGTTTTTGTATTTTGCGAAAACTCGCCAAACATTGTCGAAATGTTAGTTTTTATTTGAGAAGATGTACGGAAAGGCTTTGGATTGTATTTAAAATTTTGTTTTTTTGAGTAGGCATCAAAAGATTCGATCAAATTAAAGAATTTTCGCAAAATACAAAAAGGCTGGGGGTTTTTCGATTTTTGCGAAAACTCGCGAAACATTGTCGAAATGTTAGTTTTTATTTGAGAAAATGTACGGAAAGGCTTTGGACTGTATTTAAAATCTTGTCAATTGAGTAGGCATCAAAAGATTCGATCCAATTAAAGAATTTTCGCAAAATACAAAATGGCTGGGGGTTTTTGTATTTTGCGAAAACTCGCCCAACCGATAAAATTCAATCACATGGAATGTCACCAGATTGGCACAAATAGGCACCCAGGAAGTAGAACAAAAGAAAAATGTCATTATGAATGAGAAGAGGGAAGTCTTCACACGTTGATGACACAAATAATGGGCGTCCTGCTAATTTCTTTTAAGAAGTGAGTCATTGTCTGGCGCCAAAGAAAATGCATGCACCTTTTTGTTATAGGTTCCTGCTACACTATCAAAAAAACCCAAAGCCTCTTTCTAAAGCATTACCGTACATTTATTCAAATAAAAACTAGCATTTCGACAATGTTGGGCGAGTTTTCGCAAAATACAAAAGCCCCTAGCCATTTTGTATTTTGCGAAAATTCTTTAATTGGATCGAATCTTTTGATGCCTACTCAAAAAAACAAAATTTTAAATACAATCCAAAGCCTTTCCGTACATTTTCTCAAATAAAAACTAATATTTCGACAATGTTTGGCGAGTTTTCGCAAAATACAAAAAACCCCAGCCATTTTGTATTTTGCGAAAATCTTTTGACATCACCCCCGTCCTTTTCCAGCCAGGCGGGTTTCACCGGGAAGGAAGCAGGAAAATAGGCCTTGTGGATAAAGGCGTAAATTACTCCTAAAACAACACAGAACACGCAGAATGTTGGGTATTTACCAATTACCAATTAGCAAGCACCGGGATGCTTACTGTTATCGTCTTTCGCTTGGAATGGCAATTCACAATTAGGCCGTTCATGGCCTTGATGTGGTTGGTTTTTGAACCATTTTCCAAAATGTGTCCATGAGTTATCTAACGTTAAATGGGAAGAACTAGGCTATTTGCATGAACAGAGTCGCCCTGAAT